CGTTAACGAAGATTCTTATAATGAAGTCCTGATCGGCTGGATCAGCAACTTCGTTATATCGAGGTGTGACTGTATTTAATATTCTGAGCTAAACCCTCAATTAGATTTTGCTCTGATTTGTCTTTAGTGACACAAATAAGATTTTTGGCTTTCTAAAACACAAGTATGGTATTAATATATCTTCAAAAAAATGACAGAAAATTGCCAGGTTCTAAAAAAATTATCCTAATACCTTAATTGTAAAGTTAACCTGTCTCGTGCTTTCATTACCTATTACTTCATATTCAGGTCTCATACTGAACTCTTCTCTTGTAGAATCTCTTGTAATATTAATTGTGATATGAAGAATAGCTACATACTCATTGCATATAGCTTCTAAGCTATCAACGACCAAAGTTTCATAATTTTTTAGTCTGACTAAAATTTTCACTATGCAATGCTTGAAGTGCTTGTCAGACTCTTGAATTTCGTAGGTTTGTAGAGAAAATAGTGGGATAGTGTTTGTACTATTGGAATCAATACTATACTTTGCCAATACCTTACTTAAACTGCGGTATGATGAGAACGCATACTTCAGCCTCTTTTACGAGAAGTGTTATTAGTCTTATCTTCAAACTACACTCCTTAAAATTGTTTTTGGTATTAACAGAGCAATTGAACAGTTATAACAAAGTCACGTGAATGACGCAGTATGATGATCTTTTAATCTAGAATTCTGAAAATACTGAGAATTCAGCGAATTCTGAGAATACGGAAGATCTATATAATTCTGAAGATCTTCCAAATACCGATAATAATCCTAATTGTACGAATTAGATGAAGTCTAAGAATATTTAGTGTTATACTTATTTTTAATATTCTAAATTTTATTATTATTTTTGTTATATTTTATATTTTTATTATTTCACATATTTTTATTATTTTTAATATACTTATAGTTTATTTTGTTAAATTAGTTAGTTTATAGTATAGTAATTAGTTAGACATAACAAAAGAAATTTTATATAAATAAATAGACTTTTTATTCATGTTGTAAATTAACTCTTTTGCAAATTGAAATAATTCTTTTATGAATTAACAATTGAGTTTTAATATTAATAAAGGAATCGTTCAAAACTTATATCTTTCTGCCTCTTCGTATCTTCATATAGTCTGATGTGATCCCTACACATTATTTGTAATTGAGTTCGTCATCTGAATTCTTTAATTAAATTATTCATAATCTCGTTTTTCAAGTCTTCATACTTGATAGATTTGTTTAAGTTCAACGTGTAAACTTAGTAAAGTTAAGAGTTAGGCGGATTCTAACGTTTTAACCACAGTAGACTGCAGTTAAAAATTTTGGGTAGAGACTTGATAACGTGACTACCCTGAGTTGAAGAATTTTACAGTGATATTGGTCATATCGAGAAAGGAAAGATCAGTAATTTTTTTGTTGCGAGGTATTTTCAAGTCTTCATCATCAAGCTTGAGATTTTGCTCTTTCAAAAAATCGATAGGGTTTCTATATCCCAGTCCTCAAGTAAGTAAGAGTCATGTTCAGCTGTTAAGATAGATATAGCACTTTTTATATGGTTATTAGACTTAAATAAAAAAATTGTGTTATGTTCCAGAGTGAGTTAAAACTTTATTTCTAGAAAAGAGCTGAGTGTTAATATAAGTTTTTATATCGCACAGGTATTGCATCATTATATATGATCTAATTTCTCGATGAACTAATAAAATAATACTTTATTTATAAAATAAGAAAAGAAGTTACCAGAACCTGGCCTACAATACATAAAAATTGCTACTATATTACTACATAAATAGATAAAAAATTCTAACTAGTCGTTAGAAAAGAATTAAGATATGGATAAGATCTTTATCATCAGGTATCTTGTTAAATAGGAAAAAATTCTATCTTCTGTTTGCATAGGTTTCTCCTCATGATAAATTTGGCAGAGGAAGTCATTATGGTTGATTGATCTCAGCTTCTTTCTTATTTCTTCTTTAAGATCAGAAACTTTTTTATCTAAAGCTCTAAACAGTTCAGATTAATCTGAAAATTTTTAGTTCAAATCAACTTCAGTTCAGTTTCAGATTGCAAAAAATTCAATCTGAAAATTTTCAGTTCAGTTCAGATTTTTTTCAGATTATA